GAGGTTGGTCGGTAGGAGATGGAGGTGCGGCTTGAGGTGGGAGGAGGAGGAGGATGCCTAACCTTGATTTGTATTCAGTTGACGTTATCCAAGTAAAACCATGTGGTTAAAGTAAACTTAACAATCCGTCAGGATCTATCCTTGATCCGCTACTCGTCATCATTCACAGTAACACAGATAATGCTCGTGACTGGTCCCCATTATCTCGCTTGATCCTGTAACTGAAACTGATGCTTGAAAGAGACTTTTAAGGAACGTTTTCCTTTGGTGTCAGGAGGAGAGAAAATAGTAGGGTGTGAAAGGGAGAAAATGGGTCCTTTCTGTTAAGACCAAAGTAAAGAAGACACAAACAAAACAAGACGTGGGGTGGAGGGGAGTGTGGAGGGTGGTGGATAGGGAGAGCATGTGAGAAAATGGAGAACAGACATCGTAGGGAGGAGGTCAGTTTCTGAACTTGTACAATTCAATATTGAGACCTCAAGGATGTAAAGAGCCTAAGAGAAAATGAGGTGTTGTTCCTTGATCTTGCATTGTGCTATGTTGGAACATTGTAGCAGGCCCAGGACAGAAATGTTAGCCTTTCGCACCTTAATTTACATTCATTTTACATCTCTTCTTCCCCTTCCCTACCATTAACAACCCCTGGTCTTTTGCACTGGACCTCTATAGCAACTGACCCCTTGCTCCTTCTCTGCCTCTGTCAAAATTTACATATTTTCCAACAACTTTCAGTTCTGAAGATGTCATACCTGACTTGAAATGTGAACTGTTTCTGTCTCCACAGATGCTGCAAGACCTGCTGAGTTTCTCCAACATTCTCTGTGTTTGTTAGAGGCATTAAAACCTTGTATAACTGTAAAACTGTCCTCTCTCTCACCTGGTCTCTCAACTGACCCCCTAACCAGCTGTGTTTGAAACCCCCTGTCAAAAAGAAATGGGGGTTCCAACCCAGATCAGAAGGTTTGGGTCTCTATTTTCATTTCAGCCTGTTAAATCTCCTTGGCCTTTTGTCAGAGGTTGACTGGAAGTTTCTAGTTGGCCTCCAGGCACCCAGAAGTGCAGGAGAGCAGTGTTGCTACCTGGAGGCAGCCTGCTGGAAGTAGTGCGGGATATGGAGGGAGGGGTAGAAGGCACTGCTCTCTGGGTCCTCAATCCACAATAATGGCCGGGCTGACTCCATTTTTTTTATTGAAAACTTTAAAAAGTTGAAGAGAGGGCACCTCAGAACAATGGCACCCACATTCTCATTTATGTGGTAATATGATCTGCTGCTTATTCAGTGCTGAAGGGCCTCCAATAATCCTCCAGCTTCAAGACAAAAACAGAAACTGCTGGAAAAGCTCAGCAGGTTTGGCAGCATCTGTGGAGAGAAATCAGTGTTAACGTTTCCAATCAAGTGACCCTTCCTCAGAACACTTCATCTGACCTGAAAAGTTAACTCTGATTTCTTTCCACAGATGCTGCCAGACCTGCTGAGCTTTTCCAGTAATTTCTGCTTTTGTTTCTGATTTACAGCATGATTTTTACTCCAGCTTCAAGACCCTGACACCATTGATAATCTACGCTGTGGCCATTACTTGTCTAATTGGGGGAAAATCACAGCCAGATAACTGCTCTCTAAAGAGGCAAGCTTTTCAGCTCTACTTCTGCCTGGCATTGAGATTCAAAAGCCCACAGGGAAAATCCCACCCAAAGTATGGTTGTTGTAGATTTATTTTCCCACTTTTCTGAACTTCTGCTTTTGATTCTATCATTGCAGATGAACATTGAGCTGGTAACAAGGACTTTCCCAGAGAGCAAGAAAATGACTATAACAATTAGGCCATTGTTCACAGATTTGCCAACAGCTAACTCTTGGCAAGTAACTAAGGGAGAGCAAGTAAAAATAGTTTATCCTTGAGTAACAATGTACAAAAATTAACTGGAAACACTTTACACCATATCGGTTAAATTAAGCCTACATGCTCCTTCTGTGGGCAATGCTGACTAAAAACAGATCACACTAGAGCCAAGATCTGTGTATGTCAGTGCAGCAACATCCTACCCATTTGGTTCAGGTATGCTGTGATGATTTCCAATCACTTCACAATGATACCATTTTAAAATGAAAATAGTCTGAAGGGTGAATCTTATAGGGCCCTGAACAATATGGGCTATGGCAAGCTACACGACAGAATTATGGGAGAAATCCTCAGAAACCTATCTCATGTCTGGATCAACTTAATGCATCTTTTATACATTTGTGGAGTACTGAGGTGTGTTTCTCACTAGGCAGCTGTCAAGGTGCTGGTTAGTCATGTCTAGAGCCTGCAGTTGGTCAAAAGTCTGGGGTGAATACAGTCCTGGGGATCCATGCATTGATCACTGATAGGAAACTGTAAGGGCAAACATGAGATCACAGCCAAAGTTGTATGGCAATCAAGATTGGGGGGTGGGGGGGGAGCAAAAAGCAGAGGCATGTGTTGAAGTGGGGAACGGACAGTGTGATGACGGAAAATCTGAGATATCAGGGCAATGGAAAGAATAACATTAGAGGGCGTGGTATCAGAGTGTGGATAATGGCAGTGACCACCACCTTGGCCTCCACAGGGGGAGCAAAGAGGACCAGGGTGAGGATCATTCATTTGTCACGTCAGAACGTAGGGAATAGTTGAGGCCATTGGAGAAAAAATTTGATGTGAGGGAAATTGTTGAAAACAGACTGCCAAGTAAGTGCAGGGCAAAAGGGAACATGGAAGCTCTGGGAGTGGGGTGGGCGTGTGGTGACCAGGAGAAGCTCATTGCTGACTGTCTCCACATCAAGCTGCATTCCCCGCTCTCACTTGCCATTCTCTAA